CCCACTAATCCTAATCAGCCAAAGTTAAGAAATTTAGTGCTTTTCTCAGAGCCAGGGTGGCAAATGTCAAAAAAGCTTTTCCATCACAGCCGTGTAAATTAATTCTCAATGACAAGAAAAAAGGAGGGAAGACTCTATTATGTTCACGCTCAGAGCTTAAAAGGACAAAATTTACTAAAACAAATACCAAGTGACATCTTCTCAAATGGGGAGCACTAATACACTTAGAACCTTTTTGCTGGTGTGAGAACTGGAACTAGAAGACATTATTGGGATTAAACTGTCAGACAACAGTTTATGCTGTTTAATCCATTGTTTTGAAGAGGGACTACAAGTAGAACTCTCTTTCCAGGGCTCTGGGGATGCTCACATCTGTCCTCGCCTATGTTGCAGGCATGTCAAGAAATCTTCTGAAACCAAATGGAGGGTGCCATAGGATTCCTTGAGGACACTGGAGGTGAGTGTCTAGTGCATGTCCTTATTTAAAAAGTTAATGAAAAAATTTCAACTGCATAGGAACTAAGTAAAAAAATTCAATTGGTGCTTGGTTAGTGAGGCAAAGGATTTGTCCCAGTGAAAGAAAACCCAGGGAAAATTATTTGAATTGTGCTCTTTACGTATGATGAGATCCTGCCTTAATTTTGGCCAGAACAAATGTATCTGCTGGTTTATTATTTTTTCTTTGCTTCCTTTTATTCAAATGGGTCACAAACTCCTGGTTTTGACAAATTCAACTGTTATCTCTTAGAACTATACCTATACCCCTGATGCTATGTGGCTCAGGTGGGCTAAAGACACCCATGGGGCAGCCTGGGTCCTCACAGTCCAGTTTGCCTGAAGCATCCCCAGGTACCAATATGATGAGCAAGTATGTATGGTGGTGAAATGTGAGAGAAAGAGAATCAGAAGGCTTCATGTACTGTGGTAATAGGCAGTTCTGAAGAAGCAGGGATGTTGAGGAATGGGGGTGGCATGTGGCCCTGCCTGCTGCCTAAAGCCATATATGGGTCTGTGACAGCCAGGGTCCATGTTGACATCTATGACCCATGCTTCAACAAGGCCACATGGATGCCAGGGGTATGGGCTACCACCTGTGGCCATTTTGATGTTCAAGGGCTGTGCTGCCACTGGGGCCATGTTGATCTGAGTGGTCTGTGCTGCTACGGGGGGGGGGGGGGGGGAGGGAAACCTTGTCTTTTGAAATGTGGGGGGGGCCCCGCCCTGGCTCTGGGGGAGTGGGCTTT